ATCATCACATTGTTTAAAAAAGCCTGAATGGAGTTGTATACGTGGATAAAAATGATCGGAGGAGGGTATTATAGGGGTGGGGAAGATAAAAGTACACACATTTTGTAAAGTGCAAATGATAGGACACACTTTTATCTGATATGATAAAAGTATATATTGTTAATGTAAATAATCTCTAATTTATAATTAAAATTTTAAAAACAACACTTTTGAGTAAATACAACAGTTTTCAAATGAGTTAATGAGATTTGAAATTGATTAAGTAACATCAAATCTAATATAAAACAATTTTGATATTTGTACAGTTAAAAAGAATAATTTAGTGCACAGATAATTACGAAAGATCTTGAATTTTGCATTCATATCTTTGAAAGCAATATCGTTTCTCTTTAAAAATATGCTTTAAATTAGGGATACAAGTTTTGGATTACTTATTAAAATATTGATTTCCTTTTACTGTTTTTACAATATGAAAAAGAATTATATATATATATTTTAATAACCACATATTTCTGATTTATTAATTAATTAATTTAGATCGAATACCGTAAAGACGATGATAACCCTTTCAATATGATTAGGTGGTCTATATGTTTAAAACTTCACTAAACACTTAAAATTTTAATATAATTACTTATAATGAAATATGTTTGACATATTAGAGTAACTAGTATATTTAGTATATATATAAAAATATTGTAATTAATAAATCCGAATAAATTAACTGTAATTGAAGTACTCAATTGCATTTGTAATTCTTATAACGACTGAAAATTTATAGAATTTGTAAAAGTAATTAGACTTGAATTTAGTTGTATGACATTTTAATCTTTATTTTATTCATTTTTTAATTTTAATTTATATGTAATTATACTTAATTAAATAATTACAAATCTAATATTGGTTTTAATAATATGTAAAATATGTGTTGTGAGAAAAATAATTTTAAAAAATTAAGTTTAAAATTTAAAGGTTTAACATTGCTATTAAAATATACTTTTGAAAATGTAAAATACCATTTTAGATATTATTTTTTATGTTAAAATATACAGTAAAGTTATATTTAATTTTTTAATTTTATAATATAAGAAATATATTATTTTAAAATTTGATATAAATATAAGAAATTATCAATAAATAAATAAATTTATAATAATTGTGCATGTTACATAAGAATATAAAAATTGAACATAATTTTTATCTAAAAATTGATAAAATACATTGTTTAATAATATATAAAATTTTCAAATCAATAATCTGTTTAATAATATATAAAATTTTCAAATCAATAAATTGTTTATTAATATATAAAATTTTCAAATCAATAAATAATTTATTAAACATATAATCTTTATTGATAAAAATTATAATATAAACATATTATAAGATAACAAATACAAATTAAATCTATAATTTTTCTTAATTTTTTTTTAAATTAAATTCTAAAATTTTTAGATTTTACATTTAAGTTGATAGACACTTTTTTAAATATATTTTTTCTTTCAAAAATATTTGTTTAATATTAAATATGATTTAAAAAATGCTTGTGAACTCAGAAATACTTTTAAAATGTAATAGTAAACACGAACTAAATATGTATAGAGAATATAATTATTTGTACTTACAAAATGATATAATTACAGCCCAAAAATGAAATGATGAGTTAAGTAAATAATATATAGTTTTTATTTACTAATTAGTTTAATAATGTTGCAAAGAAGTGCGAGTTTGGTCTGGGCCGTCAACGGTCTTACCGACAGCTGTTTTACCGCTGTTCACTTTTTGCAGTATTAGAATTAGTTTAAGACGAAAAATATTTAATTATCACTTATTTATAAGTTAAATATATTACGTAAATATTTTAATATATGTTAACTCTTAGAAAATATTGATAATTAATCAATTAATTATTTTCATATAATAAAATATTATCTTAATCCAAAAGAATTAGTTTAAGACCAATGATAAAAATGAATTGGTAAGAGTGAACACTTATTTATAATATAAACATTAAAAGAATATGATTTTTTCGTTAAAATTTATTTTCAAAGTTTAATTGAATAATTATTTTAATTTTATAATAATTTAATTTTTATTAATATATTTTTTATTAGATGAAAACTATTAATTGATTAATTAACAATATTTTCTACTAATTAAACGAGTTAACATATATTAAGATATTAACATAACACGTCTACATATAAATAAGTGATAATATGGTATAATGCCGCATCATAAAAAATATTTATTGAATTAATCACAGCTAATCAAATAACAAATTTATAATCTAATCTAATTAGTTTAAAAATACAAAAATAAAGAAATGAAAATTTTGTGACACATTTTTCTATTTGTTATTAAGACACGTTTTTAGGTTTTTATAATTTTTATTTTTAATATATTGTGACCAATTATATTAGTATAGTAGTATCACTTACTAGGTATTAAGTGAATGTGTCATAATTAATATATTTTCATAAATATATAAATATATTTGATTACGGTAATAGATTAAAATTAATAGTATTGTTTGTCACATTATATCTAGTAAGTGGATTTGGTGGTTAGGTTCAATTCTTAATGCTTTTAAATTTTCATTTCTTTACATGTTTATTTTTAAAACCAATTATATGGTATCTAGGAATGGGCATGGGTCGGGTAGGGTCGGGTTTTTGGTCTACCCGACCCGATCCGAAACAAAGATCTTCCACCCGAAACCCGACCAAAACAAAATTTAACCCGACCCGAACCTGACCCGACATATAACTTAAAAACCCGACCCGATACGACCCGATCAAAACAATTACTTAATTGAAAAAAATATATTGAGGGGTATCATTGTAAGTATTCCTAAATATATAAATACTTATATATATTTTATGAGTCAGGTCGGGTATTTTTCACCTTGAACCCAACCCGAACTTCACACTTAAAAAAACCCGATCCAACCTCAATTTTTAAAAAAACTCGATCCGATCAGTCGAAACTCGTCGAATTTGAGTCAATGTCAATCCCTAATGATATCACATGTCATCATCTAATTAGTACATAATAACATTTTACAGTTACTTTAATAAATAATATTTACTGGCATTATATTATATCACATCATCGCTCATTTAAATATGCATATGTTACATCAGTATTTTAATTTATATAGACTCGTTTAGTTATAAAAATTGTTTTTTATTTGATTTTCATCCAACAAATGGTTATTTTATCTCAAAATGAAATATTAATGGTTAAAATACTTAAAAAAAAATAGAGACCAAACTCACTATTTAACTAAACGTTACGAATGGACTTTGACGTTATATATATTTTTAATACCTCAACTTAAAAATATTATAAATGACCATCCAATTTTAAAAATAATAAATTGATAATTTTTTGTTAAAATGAGTAACGATAAATGATGTGATAGTTAATATAATTAGTATAACAACAAATATAACCATAGTCAGACACAAAATTTATGTTAGGATGCGAGTTTCTAAAAATTTAGTGAGAATAAACTTATAAAATTTAAGAAGACGAAAAATATTTTCAATTGAAAACATATAAAAAGTTAAATTATATAGTAATTTAAAATTTTTAGGAAGATGATTATCCCTACCCCACCCTCTCGATCCATCTCTGAATAACTCTAAACTTATAAACATCATGGACCTTCATGTAACTATAATAAATTGTACATCAACGCTATTAACTTCACGTTAATTTTGTAACAATCAATATCAATCATAAAATAAAACAAATTAATTAGAAAATTAAAACAAAATTATCGATTTAGATTTACTTAAGAAAAAAATGACATTAAATAATAAAATATTACGATAAACAATAAAACCACCTTTTTTAAAAAATAGAAAAAAATCAATTTATATCCTCACAAACAATTCATAGTTTATAAATCACATAATATTATATGCTTAAAACACTCTATCAACAATTTTAAAAATATTATAAAATCACCTATACTAATTTAATTTAGTTAGCATCATACCTAGAACGAAGAGAAAAATCCGAAAATTAGGTCAGCTTTTTTGGGAGGAGAGAAATAAAATATAATTAAGTGAGGGCTTAATCGCCATTTAACCATGGCTGTAGTTTAAAATACCAAGATGAGGTGTCCAAATCACAAAGCTTCTTAGGAAATGATAACAAATTGAAAATTCAGATTCCGAGGATTTGTAATTTTTTTAGTTTTATTAAAATATTTTTTTAAAGAAAAAACATTATTTTTCATATCGATTTATTACTTTAAGGGATAGTTCTACGATACCGTAACTTAATTTAAGGTTAAGAAAATACGTTATCGGAAACGTTAATATTTTTTAATATTTTCAATAGAATGTTATTAAAATGTTATTTTTTTACCGAAAATATTAATTTCATTACCTAAAATAAATATTTTCGATATTAACATTTCTGATAAAAATATAACATTTTAGATAACATCGGATATTAATATTTTCAGTTAAAAAATAATATTTTCAGTAACACTCTATCAAAAATATTATAAAAATATTAACATTTTCGATAAGTATTTTTTTATACTTATATTAAACTATATTTACTTACCATCCATTTTTAAGGTCAGTTTGACTGCATTTTTAACATAACCTTTCCTTTTAAAAACATTGAAGGGTTAGGATCTTAAAACCGAACTATCCTTCGATTTCTTTTGTGGCCCGATGGTCTATATTTGGATGTACCATTATTTAATAAGTATTTTTTATACATGCCATTATCGAATATTAATATATACACACACAAAAGAGAAATAACAATGTGTATAGATTTAAGTATATCTAAAAAATAATATAAAAATTAAATATATCTTTGCGAAAGCCAAGCAAATTGATTTGAGAGACGAAAGGAAAACATTAAAAAAGTAATTTTATAAATTGTAAGGGTAATTTGGGAATGAAAATTAACAGAGGGCATTCTAGTGATTGACCCTGTTTTTAACCTGTAGAGTGCACATACAATACAAGAGAAAAGACCTTAGTTTCCCACTCTCTTCCCTCCCCCCGTCAATGGAGGGAAGTTTATAAAAATCTATATTTTCCTCTCTATTTTGAAGCAAGATTTTCTTCTTCTTTTTTTTAAAAAAAAGAGAGAAAAATCTCTATTTTGTCTCCGATTTTGGTTTGCCATTTTCGAGAATGGAGGAAAAGGAAAGTACGATATCTGGGTCACTGGGCAACTCGGACACTGACTCACCACCTGCACCAGTGAGCAGCCTGCAAGTGTTGCCCCAGGTGATGAACTTCAACAGGATCTTGGAAAGAAACATTGTTAGTTCAACAACAGCGACGGCAATAACTACAACGACAGCAAGCCCTGGATCAGGTGGAGGAGGAACAGTGAGTGATTCTTTGGGGAAGAAAAAGAGAGGAAGACCCAGAAAATATGATGCGGATGGGAACCTTAGGTTACCTTATCCGATAGTGACGGCTCCACCTCCTGGTTTCACTTTATCACCTTCTTCTCCTACCGAGTTCAACTCGTCCAAGAGAGGTAAAGTGAAGTCTCCTGCTGGGAACTGGCAGCTTCTTGCTTCTCTAGGTAAAGTTCGAGAAATTTGAGCTTTTTTTCCTTCATGTAAAAATCTGTTTGGTTCCCGAGAAAAGCACGGCAGAAAATAGATTCCGGCTTATTGCTTATTCTCTAGGTAAAGTTCATTAAAGTTAAATAGTAGTTTTATTTTGTCTAGTTTCCGATAAAACTCTTGTTTGGTTCCCAAGAAAGTGCATAGATTAAAAGAAAGAAAGAAGAAAAATATGGGCTTGTGATTGCCTGCATTGCATGTGTTTTGTTATTATCAATCTATTTTGTTTTTCATTTATAGGGTAATTAGTTGTTAGCCTACGTACCAAGAATAAGTATAATAAAAAAATATTTTATGGGATAAATCTCTAATGGGACATAGAAATATAGCCTTAAGAGACTTACTTTATTTTTTCTTTCTTTAAGTATTTTTTTAGTTTCTCTATTTCTCACCCAACTCATTGTGGGTGGTTGATTCATGCTTTCTATGGTAACCAAAGTATTTGTTTATTTATTTATAATCTTCTGTATTAGATTTATTAATATATTAATTTGAATAGAGTAATATAAAGACTTATTATTGGAGCTTCCTTACTAATACAGTTTGTTCTATTTAAATTCAAATTCTTGATTTTATTTTAAAAATTAGTGTTTTATCTTAATAGACTTATTGATAATTAATTCTAAATAATTCATAACAATAATATTTATTTATTTATTTAAATAAGTTTGCTCTATTTGATGCATGGGTGTAGTAAACCATGAAGCTGTAATCTAATTAAAGATAAATGGAAGAAAATTTTAATTTTGATAAAAAATTTGAATTTCACATACGAGTTAATATGATTTTTGATAGTATTTTATTTACTAAGGGTATAGATATATAATTATTATCATTACATCAAATATGAACGGTTCATCAAATAATAAATGCAGTTTTTCACATTATTTACAACATTGACAAAAACCACAATATTTTGAAGGAACGTGATAGCAAAATTTTAGGAAGTAGGTATTTTGGTTCTCAGGTTTCTATATTTGTCCATTAGCCCATTTGCTAGAAATTAAATTAGTATCTATAAAAAGGATACCCATTTAAGTTACAGATTAATTATTAATACATTGATCAGGTGGTGACTTTATTCACCATTTCAATGCATTACCTAAAATTATTAATCTTATACTTTCAGTGTTAGAAATTAGCTCTTGAAAAAGGTATCCTAAGTTGGTGAATTTTTTGGCCAAAGAAATTTGGTGAATTTTAGGTTCACTTTTATTTTCATGACTCATTTCCTTGTATTTATTTGCATTGATTATTAATTTCAAAAAACTATATATATCTATATTAATAATAATATAATTTTTATGATTGAGATTGGTGTCACAAGTTAATCGAATGTGATATTTTTTATGATTGTGTCTAAATTTTATTTTGGGTTTAATTCGGAATATATTCATATTATTAGTTTATTTGTACTTTTAATAATTGATAATGATTTATTTGGATATGTACGTTTGTAAATCTATTTTTTTACTCACATAATCTATATATTAAATTTTGACAGGAGAATTATTTGCTAATACGGCTGGAGGGGACTTCACTGCACATGTGGTCAAAGTTAATACTGGAGAGGTATTTACCCCAAATGTCAGCTAATTGAGGCTGTAATTTGTGAAGATTTTGGCTAAAATACTTTTACAAAATTTGAGAAAAAGGTTAAAAATTAAGCTCCCTTTTTATTTTCAATTTTAAACATTTAATTTAATCATTAGCGTCATTATTTTTTATTAAAAAAATTGGCCTCTGGACTAATTTATTAGACTGCCCTCATATTTAGTGTCACATGATTGATGGAAAACTAATTTTATTTTTTGAAAAATTACGATGAAAATATTAATTGTATTAGTGTTAATTATTGTACTATGATTTTTAAAATGAAAAAAAATATATTTTAGGTATCGAGATAAAAATATCAAATTTTACCGAAGTATTGAAATTTGCAGATCGTTCTTAATGATGGGAGACATTAATTATAAATTAATTGAAATTGCAGGATGTTGCAGGGAAAATTCTTTCTCTATCAGAGAAGGGTCCTCGTGGGATTTGTATTCTATCAGCAAATGGAGCTGTTTCTAATGTAACCATCCGACAACCTGGTTCATCCGGTGGGATTCTAACATTCGAGGTCTGTTTTTTTCCTTTTGAAATTTCTGTCTTTTTTGTTTAAAATTATGCCCTATGTTTATTTACTTAGATGAAGTTTGAGATTTTTGACTCGTGCATTCAACGTATTTAAATTCTTTTATTTTTTCTATTAAAATATTCAGTTAAATCATTGATATTGTCAGTGTTTTCTTATAAATTTATTTACTCGTGTTTGGTGTTCATACCTATCGTATTCATGGTTTATACGTTGCATGTTGTAAACGTTTCCAAAAGTTTATTCTTTTCAGAATCACTGGAGTTGAAATTTGGAATTAATTTGCATTAATGCAGGGCCGGTTTGAGATATTGTCTTTAACCGGATCATTTACCTTCAGTGACAATGGTGGTACAAAGAATAGAACCGGTGGTTTAAGTGTTTCATTGGCTGGACCAGATGGTCGTGTAATAGGTGGTGCACTTGCTGGTACATTGTTGGCTGCTAGCCCTATACAAGTTAGTCCTTTCCTACTTGTTATCATATTCAAGACTCTTCATTTCTTCGAAAATATTGTCTATTTCCTTCACCTATTAAGATATAATTACACGAATATTATGATTTTATTATAATTCAATCTCCATTTTCTAGCACAAATTTTTGTTTTAGCCTTGTTCTATATTGCGTGATACATATACGTACAATTCCATTTTTCTTTTGATAGATTGTGGTGGGGAGCTTCGTTCCAAATGCGTATAAAGTGCAGAAAAGGAAGTCATACCGTGAGCAGCACACGGTGACAGCTTCCACGGTCCCCGTCATCTCTTCAGCCATGGCGACGGTGGAAGAAGCAAGGTCAATCTTCTCACAAACAAAACCCGATGGGGAAAACAATATGAAACCAACATCGCCGTTTCAAGGGGTAACCCTTGGGGAGGCGAGTAATAACATAACTGATCATAAAAACATAGCCAATATTCCAGCAGCCTCCATCGTTTCCGGTTGGAATAACAGCTCGGAACCGGCCTCGATCCATCGGCCATCACCTGATATTAACGTGTCAGTGCCTAGTGAATAGGGTAATTAACTCCCTTGAGAAAACTCTTCGTTCGAGGTTTAGCCATTTTAGGATCCCGGAAAGCACGGACATGATAAATGGAACTCGGTTCAAACTAATTTTTATTTACATCTTCGTTTGGATTGTGACAATTAGATGCAAAAATTTCTAGAATTTTTATCTGATGTTTTGATACATGGATTTTAACTTCACTGAATTTAGAACAGATTTATGGTCAATTTATTGTGTTTGGTAACATGTTTTTTTTATTGTTGTTTACTTGTTAGTTGTTACACGTTTATTTGGAAATTGCAAATGCGCGTACTGAAGTTGTGTTGCATTGTACTGGATTGCTTGTAGAATTTGAAAAAGTTTTGAAAATGTCGTCTGTTTAACTGGCGATTGAAATCTTCAATAATATATGTTGTGTTCCCATTATCTTTATGTATAGCTTTAGCTTCAAAAATTTATTCCTGATTTTTAAAAAAGCTTTACAAATTGTTGATCGAATTTAAGAAACCGTATTGAGAGCCACAAACTCTCTTATGGAATTTTTTTATTTTACAGTTGAAAAGTTTTAAACTTATGTATTTAAGAAGTGTTAAAATCTAAAGATTAAAAGTACACAAATTTGGAAACCTATTGCATGTTGGAGATTCTAGCTATATGTTCCGACAAAGAATACGAGTTAGATTTATTCCAAATTTTCTATGGAATTATACAACGGATCAAATATAAATTTAATTAAAAGGGGAAAAAACAATTGAAGTATCGCTTTCAATAAGCTTATCGTCATTGAACATGCGGATCCCATAAAAACTCATAAATCGAACCCCAAAACATTAGAAGGGCACGCCGGGATACATATAATTGACCTTCTGGATTTTTTTGCCTCCTTGACTTCAATGGATGGCATTAATCTGCTTGTATCCGTAAGTAATTTATTATTTCCCCGCAATTTTAAATTTAAAAGAAAATCACTTTTTGTGGTATGGAAATGTAATCTTGCAGCTAATTTTGTCAGATATTAGAAATTAAACATATAAATGGAAATTGTAATGAATTTAATTCAATTACTTGAATCAAATTTGAAGCAAAATTCTTAGTTTTCTAATTTAATTAATAATAATTACACTTTTATTTAAATTTAATTATAAATACGTAAATAATAAATAGAATCTTAATGTTTTATTATTATTATTATTATTCGAATTCGGGTCGTGCTTGCTCTCATCATGAATAGAATAGCCAAAAAAAAGGAATAAAAGACTCATCACACAGCTCACCACCTAATTGGCTTTATTCTTTTTTCAACTCCCATCATTTTTTTTAATCAATCACTAGTATTCAATCTATTAATTGACTAATCAAGATCAGGTATTACAAAGGCAATGATGACCCTTCCAATTCAATTTGCTCCATTTGCAAACGTCAAGGTTCGAAACCCTGACATTTGCTTAAGGAATCTATTGCTTAATCCACTATATTAATTGATTGTTGGTTTTAAATCACATCATTTGATAATATGTAAAAAAATATTCTTATACAGATGTAGGACCGCTGGATGAGTGAAAATAGACGGTTTAGGTTAACAATGAGAATTGAGAAAATATTAATTGAAAAAATAAGAGTTAATCTCAATCATTTACCTTCACTCATCTAATAACTTAAATATGTGTAAAACTAAAAAAATTGCATTGTATAAGTGAATCCTAACCCATTTTTATAATTGTAATATTACAAAATTTAAGTATTATTTAAATATATATTTATTTCATTTGATATATTTTATGATTATAATACTAAATCTTTGAAGTATTATTAAAACATTTTTTAAACACATGCACACTTATCTTATAAATAACATTGTTCAAATTTAAACTATTAAAAAATATATACTCTTTTCTCAAGAAAACCACGGCTATAAGTTCTATTAGGATATAATTTTATGAGATCAACAATTAATTGATTTAGTAAAATAAAGTATTAGATTAATTAAACAGTGTTAGATATTTAAATTTTGATACTTGTGAATAGAATAATCTAAGTTAGAATAGTCACCTTTATTTATATAATATTTAATTTAAATTAATCAATTAATAAATTAAATATAGATTATTATATTAAAAATATATAAATTTATTAGCACTCGTTTGAAACTAAAACATAAATATTCTTTTCCCACGTAGGCATGAACAAAAAATTATTTTCCCGTTATTTATTCTTTGACTTGGGCACCAAGAAAACAAATAATTTTGGTTTTTCAAAACCTACCAAACTTGTGGGGCCCTTTTAAGAATACATCGAATACCATGCGGCATGCGAAAGATGGACGGTTTAATCCGTGCTCCTGACGGAACATTTGAATTGTATTCGAATATTCTCTATTCAAGCTTGGTGCTATTTAAATTTTGTATAAATCCAATTGAACTTTAGTACTTTGGTGTTAAATTGTATTTTCTAAAAATATATTGAATTAAGTTTTAAATTTAAGTATATAAATATATAAACGATTTAATTAAACTAAATTATAATTAAATAATTTTATTCTGAGATATTAATTAGTTTATAATAATAACAGATCAAATCATATTAAATTTTGAGCAATATGTTTAAGTGTACCAATATTTAAGTTCTGCTCGATCTGATCACGTGCTAAACCTAACAAACTCAGCATCCAACGGTCAAAACTTCATTTTCATTAAAATCGACGGCTTTATTACCCCAAATACTCTTCATAAACCCTTCACTCCAACTGCTCACTCAAAAGGTTTTCTCTAACGTCCTCTTTACAACATCTTCTCTTTCGATCTCTGAAAAGGCGTTTTTCTCATGGCGGCTACCATCGTCTCCGTCAAAGCTAGACAGATCTTCGACAGCCGAGGAAATCCAACGGTCGAGGTTCGCTTCATCCGATCTTCTTTCTTCATTTTCGTTCCCTTTTCATACTTTATCTTCTCATCTTTCCCTCTCTCATGTATATATATAACATCTCAGTCACTCATTTCCCGATTATTTTTTATTCTGATCCAAATGCGTTTAACTTTTGTAACTCAACGAGTCGAACATGTCGATTAACTTAGTTCGTCTGACAATTTTCGGCTGATTGCATAGAATAAACTCTATTTCGTTAGTTTTTTTCAGTTATTTTTAATCTTTTTAAATGTATGAAGAATTTTATTTTAATTTTAGGAGAATTTTTTCTTAAATATAATATAGGTTGATGTGGAAACATCGAATGGTAAAAAAGTGAGAGCCGCAGTTCCTAGTGGTGCATCCACTGGTACGCTGATTAATCTCTTAATAATATCTACGCTATTATTTTGTATTCTTTTTTCATTTATTTTATTTTGTTTCAGGAATTTACGAGGCTCTTGAGTTGAGAGATGGAGGTTCCGATTACCTTGGTAAAGGTGTTTCAAAGGTCAGGTTTTATCTTGTACTTCTTTCTAGCATTTTTTTGAATAATTAATTTTATTAGCAACTTATTCTTTACTAAACTATGCAGGCTGTTGCTAATGTTAACACAATCATAGGCCCTGCGTTGATCGGAAAGGTTTATGCCTAAACTTGTGTTTAGCTTTCATTTCATTTTCGTAATGTTTTTTCTCTTTATGAACTGATGCTGTTGCTTTAATGAACTTTAAATGGTTTTGAAACTCCCTTTGCTTATTTTGTGATTATTTGCCCTTTGACTTCCGTGAAAGTTACGGGCAGTAGTTAAATGCGGTGAACTTGAGGAAATAATTCACTGTATACTTTGTTCTAAAGTGTGTAATTTTTCTTTAAAATTGATTTCTTTAGGACCCAACCGAACAGACTGCTATTGACAATTTCATGGTTCAACAACTAGATGGAACTCAAAATGAATGGGGTTGGTGCAAACAAAAGGTAACTTAGCTGATTTCCTCTTTAATGTTATTCAAATGACTTTGTTACGAGGCTTATTAACATCTCCGTTTTATAGTATTGTGTTTCTTATTTTGTTATTTTCCTCCAGCTTGGCGCAAATGCCATTCTTGCAGTGTCCCTTGCTGTTTGCAAAGCTGGAGCTGAAGTCAAGAACATTCCACTTTACAAGGTACATGCTGGTTCATCGAACTTCATTTTTTCCCCTTTCTGCAGACTCATGTTAGTTTTTGAGTATTGACCCGTGAATGGGAAAATGATTTCTATTACTGTCTCCAACTATATTGCTCAGACTTGGGTGTGATGTTGGATATATAGGTATGTCCAATGTTTTCTAAGTTTTCCATGAATTTGGAGGGTCATGTCCATATTCATTTCCAAATACACATTGAATGTTTTGGACACGATACTTCAAGAAAAATGAAGAGTTAAAGCAAAAGAGGTCTCAAAATCACATAATTTTATGTCTGAAATTTATATAATGGAAAGTTATTTAGTTGATATCATCTGAATCGATTAAACCAACCTATTATTTGTTGCAGCACATTGCTAACCTTGCTGGTAACCAGAAGTTGGTTCTGCCAGTCCCTGCTTTCAATGTCATCAATGGTGGTTCACATGCAGGAAACAAACTTGCTATGCAGGTACGAATCTCAAAATTCCTTTTGATTTTGTTAGTCATTTCTTGATATTGAGTTCTTGAGCATCTATGTTTGTAGGAGTTCATGATTCTCCCTGTCGGAGCATCATCTTTTAAGGAGGCAATGAAGATGGGTGTGGAAGTCTACCATCACTTGAAGGCTGTTATCAAGAAGAAGTATGGTCAAGATGCAACAAACGTTGGTGATGAAGGTGGTTTTGCTCCTAATATTCAGGTCGATCGTCAGTTAATGAACTTCATGATGTTCTTCATTTGTACCTGTTAGTTCAATCTTCACATAATTGAAATCATTTTTTGCGTAAGCCAGGAAAATAAGGAAGGGCTTGAGCTGTTAAAAACTGCCATTGCTAAAGCAGGTTACACAGACAAAGTTAGTGTTCTTCTTAGTTGACCTTATGAATTCTCCACTCTTTCGATGTAAGCAATGGCTGATTGAATGTTCCTTTTGTATATTAGGTTGTTATTGGAATGGATGTTGCTGCATCTGAATTTTATGGACCAGATAAAACCTATGACTTGAACTTCAAGGAAGAGGTGAACACATCTCAACTCGCAAGATATTTTCAAATCATTGTACCCTTATGAGAACTGTTTAAATACAGTTACTGTATCATTTTCTGATAATCTGTACTTTCAAGTTAGTTGCTTCTCCATTTATTTTT